AGGAATGATCACTAACCCCTCACTCTACAGGGAAAAAGGCAGGATGAAGCAGAAGTACAGTGGAAAACAGAGGGATACAAATAAGAGCACGGTCCCTTTAAAAAAAAGCAGGGGGCAGGATCAGAGACCTCCCCTACCCCCGGGAAATTAAACAAACCCGCAGAAAAAAAACCCTCATTTTGCTAAATTAAGACAATGTGGTCCAGATGTGGGAGCGGCAGAGCAGCACAGCCCGGCTCGCGGGGGCCGGGGCGGCTCCTGCCTCACCGCTTGTCACAGCTATGAAAATATTCCCTTTTTTGGAAACCTTTGCTGATGCGAGGAAAGGGAATTTATGGCCCTGCAGCAGCACGGGGACATGCAGCGAGGCTGGGGAGGCTGGGCAAGGGCCGCTGCAATATCCAGATGCTCCTTGCTGGAGAGGAATAGGGATTCCTGGAGCCGAGCATCCTTACGGACTGTGCATGGCAAGGGCAAAAATCCCCAATACCCGATGGGCACAGGGAGGCTGTGGCAGAGAGCGGCTCCAGCTCGGGCATCCCACCCAATGCAGCAGGATCCAGCCCCACCGCTGGGATCCAGCGGCGTTTCCCAGCTTGGACCAGGTTTCTTCCCAATCCGTGCCTGGGTCATGGGCACGGCCGCAGCTCCAGGCCGCAAGATTTCGGGTCCGGAGGCGCAAAACGCCCTCTCTCACCTCTCCCTTGGCAGGAAGGGGAACTTCCTCGGGGCCCTTTCGACACACAAGCACCACATTTCTAAGGCAATACCTCACTCGGGCCCCAGAGGGGTTTCAGTAGCGTCTCCCCACGGCCTCTCACCAGCCCAGGGCTGGTTGCTCACCAGATGTGATCAGGATTGGGAAACTCCCCCGCTCCTTTTTCCGACCGGCAAACCCTCCAGGCTGCGTTTTTGGAAGGTTCCTTGGCAGATTTGTCCACGCAAGCAAAGAGATTTAGAGCCAGAGTTCAGCTGTGAAGGTGGGACATCTTTTGTGGGTGGAAAGGATGAGTGAGCAGGGAGGTGATAAGTGGTCAAGGATTCCAGAAATAGGTGTTTCTTTCTCATCATCTTTAGTTCAGTAAAGAAAACCAGGCATTG